AGGTTATTGGTCAAGGCATTTCAAATATACTTTCCCTTTAAAAGGAAGCTTATAGTCATGAAGGCACTATTCTCATATGGTATGTTGAGCAACGCAGGGCACATCTACATGATATGTTTAATGTGCAGTAGCCTAATAACACTGCACAGTAGCGTGCCAGGCAAAAAGCATACTAATACGCTACTGTGCAGTAGTATTAGGCTACTGCGCTGTAAGCATCACTAAAAAATGGTGCACTGGCGCTACTGCGCAATAACTGTAGTTATTGTGCCTTTAGTTAGTACTTCATTAAGTAAGTACTAAACTAAATGCGCAGTTATGACTGTGCATTAATGAACGTGTAGACACAGCCACAGAAATGTTTGGAATAAAAGGCATAAGATTAAGCATTGTTTACAAAGTATCTGCCTCCCAATCCTTGCTCCCCACAACAAAAATGTGGTAAAATTTGGGTGCCTGATTTTCAGAGCTGATACTGATGCTGATGCTGATGTTCAGCCACCATGAAAATCAGTCCAAGTAATGTCTCAAGCAGAGCATTCAAAAACTGAGAGGGAGAAGGTCCCTAATTCAGGGTCACAGAGCAAGTCTCTGCCAATTCTCAAGTGAATCTGAATCTTCTGACTTTCAGTGCCATCTCCTCTTCAGTAAAATAACTCCCCCCTCTATTTTGCTACTCTTCTACAGCACCCAGAGAAATACTTGAGTAGGGCATGGCCTGAAGCCCGGCAAAGATAATGCTATAGTATGCAGTTGTATTTAATTCCAAAATCTAACTATAATGTCGTTGTCACCCTTTTTTTAAACCAGATTTTGTGTGGATTTTGTTTTTTTTAATACATGTATCTAAAGGAAACCTTGAATTGCTCTTTTCTACTGACTTTTGTCAAGTCTTTGAGCTGTGCTGCATTCTCGTGCAGTCATGAAAGATTTTCACTTTACAGCTCATAAAAGAAAAAGGTGGTAAATTGCAAGCAGGTATAATTCATAGGGACACCACATGCCAAAACTACAACTTAACTTGTTTTAAAAACTAAGAACAGTGAGATTCCTGACTATTTCCTTGGATCTGTGCCTGAGAATGCAGGGGAAAAGGGATAGTTTCAGGCATATAAATGGACTTCCCTATATATTACCCATGTGAACTATGCACTGAAATGCAGTATGGGCCTCAAGCCCCAATAAATGGTCTGATTTGACCCATACAAAATAATGGGACAGTAGGGCTAGAAGGGAACACAGGCAGTGTTGCCAACTCATGATTTTTGGTGCTGTTCTTAAAGTCTACACTTCAGGAATGTGAAAAACATAGCGCTCTCGCTCTCTCTCTCACACACAGACACACAGACACACACACACGTGTGTAGCAAAACCCCCAGTTTTTCCTTTTTTAAAATTTATTTTAAAATTCATTCCCTCCACTTCCCCAACCGATTCTGACTTTTTCTCTCCCTCTCTAGTCCCTAGAGATAAGTATAAGTAAGCTAAGATGTAGGATAAGCTTTAACATTTTATTTTAGGTAGTAAGTTTATTTTTCTCTCCCCTCTTTGCAAATAAGTTCCCTGCTATTTTAATATCAATACCCACTGTTTTATAAGTGATAATTATTATGTTTGTACTGCTTTTATACTGTGTGATTACTGTTTTAGGCCTATATATGCAAGTTAGCTTAAGTCATGTCAAGTTTATGTCAAGCCTCCATCTTGTGTCCTCTGCCCGGGCATTTCCTGCGTTGCAACTGTATAATTCATGTACCCGTCCCATGTAAATTGGTTCCCCGATGAATGAGAGTGATTGGGAATGATTGAAATACAATGGTAGCAGGCCTCTACTGAATGGCCTGTAACGACTGGGCCATCACCTCGCATTGATTCATCCAGGAACCATGGACCTCACCCAGGAACAGAGACACGACCAGCATTTGAAAGACAAAAGACCCTGCAGAACCAGCAACGCTACCATTGTACCCCACCATTACAGACACCTGAAACTGCACATCCCTGCATGGAGCACACATGCTCAGTATGCCGGGGAAGACCCTTGTCTGGGCATGCCTCCTGTCACTAGGGTCACACAAGGTCTGCCCCTATAAAAAGGGGCAGTGAAGACAGACCTAGTGGGATGCCCTCTCTATCTGGACCAGCACCATGCCACACCACCTATCCACCCAGAGG